CAAAAAACTTGGCTGGGAAGAAATGGTTGCACAAGAGTAACACATAATTGGAGACTAGAGGGAGGGTTACCTTTTTAATCTGGCATTTAGAGTTTCACTAGTGACATTTTGAAAACACTGCTGGCTCTTTAGGAACTCCCACAAAATTATTCTAAAGTTTATCTAGGGGCTTCCCTGGTGGCGCAGTGGGTGAGAGTCCGCCTGCCAATGCAGGGGACGCGGGTTCATGCCCCGGTCCGGGAAGACCCCACATGCTGCGGAGCGGCTGGGCCCGTGAGCCATGGCCGCTGAGCCTGCGCGTCCGGAGCCTGTGCTCCGCAATGGGAGAGGCCACAACAGCGAGAGGCCCGCATACCGCAAAGAAAAAAAAAATCATAAAGTTTATCTAGTAAAAGAAACGTGAGAAAACCAAGAAAACTCTGAAAAAGAATAATGGGGGCAGGATGGGCAGCAATTGGGAGATAGGGATTGATATATACACACTACTATATATAAAATAGATAACTAATAAGGACCTACTGTACAGCACAGGGAACTCTACTCAATACTCTGTAATGATCTATATGGGAAAAGAACCTAAAAGAATGGACGTATGTATATGTATAACTGATTCATTTTGCTGTACAGCAGAAACACACCATCGTAAATCAACTATATTCCAATAAAAATTACTAAAAAAACGAGAAAAAAGAAAAGAAAAAGAATGATGGCTCATACCTCCTTGATCTCCTTTCTACTTTTCTATTCTAACTTCACTTTAAAAATAGTTAATCCATCCTGTTTCTGACCATAATATATTATTCTTCAAGCTTGATTGTTCAAATACACCCACTATACCTATTTAATCTTATCAAGGTTTCCACTTCAGTGACCTTTCTGACTTTTCCCAACCCACCAGCCCTCTTCTTTCTTCATTTTCTTTCTTATTCAGCTCAGAGATTGACTCATTTTTGCCCCTCTGCCTCTTTTTATTGCTCCCATCTGCCCAAATCCTAAAACTGGCTATCAGCATCCTCCACGCCAGCACCTTAGCAGCTCAGTTCAACGGGAAAATTCCACACAATAGGGCAGATTTCTTTTTTTTTGGCCACGCCATGTGCCTTGTGGGAGCTTAGTTCCCCAACCAGGGATTGAGCCCAGGCTACGGCAGTGAGAACACAGAGTCCTAACCACTGGACCACCAGGGAATTCCAATAGGGCAGATGAAGGACTGTAAATATATCTCCAGCATCCCAAAGGGGCCCTTATAACTAAGGATAGCGAGTCTACTCGATTCCCCTTGTCAACTCACTCTCACCACCTTGGGTGTAAGGGGGTAGAGGTGAGTGAATGTATTTATACTCTGGTAGAGGGAAAAGTCTAATCATTGTCAAAAAACAAAAATAAAACAATTTAGTAACCAGTTTGATGTCCTTTACTGAAAGGAAAACAAACCATGAACTGGGGGAATACAGTGCCTTCGGAGCAGTGGAGCCCTCT